GGGCTTGCCAGCGGTGGGCTGCTGCAGAGCCGAAGTGATGGCTTTACAGTCTGTCACCTCCTCCGGCAGGCAGCCCTCCTGGTCCCGGAGCGTGGGGTCAGCGCCCGACTTCAGCAGCAGCTCCACGATGTCCAAAAACTCACAGGCGGCGGCTGGAGGGAGAAAGGGAGGGTTAGTCTGGGGATCCTGACCCGAGGCGGAGGCGATGGGCATTTCTGGAGCGGCGCCGGAGCTGGTGACTTCCCACGCCCGTGCCAGAGGAAGGAAAAGCCATCTCAGCACCTGGCCAGGCGGAGCAGATTGTTTTTCGGGGCAGTGTTCAGTACTCAGTGTATTACTTGCCTTTGGATTTAATAGTGCAAAGGAAAGAGAAAAGACAGAGTGAAAGCGATGAAAAGCCAGAAGTCCCGGGAGGGTGTTACTGGTGCAACCCAGGCGGTTTGCAGGGCATCACCTGGGACGATGCACAGGGTGCCTGGGTGCAGTCTGGCTAATGCTCCTTCATGTCTAGGACTGGAGACAGACCCTGGGAAGGGCTGCTGCAGCACCACAGAGAGCCCCAAAGTGCCACCTGGGAAAGCCTTCCCTGCTTTTGTACCCAGAGTTCATAATGTATTTATAGCACATTTATAAACCGCTGCCCCTCACCTGCCTCCCGAACCTCCTAGGGCTCCGCAGGCAGCATGTCCCAGGCAGGACATCGCCAGTACTGCCTCACTCCCTGCTTTCATCCATCATTTCTGCTTGCAGAAAATGTGGACGTTTTTTTTATCCGGCTCCAGCAGGACATTCCTGTGCCCCCTGGCAGCCAGTAACAGCACCCCCCCTATTATTTCTAACCCATACATCTGCTAACAACTATTTTTTCAACCCCGATTTACTCTGCCAAGATAGAATCAAGTCCGAGCTGAGCTCATCCCTGTCCCGAGGACAGCCTGGCAGCTTTCAGCTCCTTCTCCAACCTTGCTTAAGGATGTTAAAAAAAAAAACCAAAACAACAGGAAAACCAGGAAAACTCTTTAACAGTGAAGAGCTGGGCTTGGCTGATACCAGCAGAAGTCCCAGTCCTTGGCTTTTCCCTTAAGCCTACGCAACGCAGATCCTAGAGAGGCCAAAAACTGCCTCAGCCCCAACCTGCCTTATGAAACGGCGAAGCCAACAGCTTCGTCATGCATTGGTTTTAATTACATTTCAGGCACTTTTACAATGTAACCAACTAACTCTTTTTTGCTGTTAAATGTAGTAATTAGAGGGTCTTTTGCATTACTTTGCAGTTTTCTACTGACCCAAAAGGACAAGCACCAATGTTTAATTAAAATAAATTTGAATTGTGATTGGAGCTTATACTGAAAAGGATAAAAAAAGGGGGGAAAAAAAAAGGGGGAAGGGGTTGATGAGGAAGCAGGTGGGGGTGTGGGCTGGGGGCACGTCCTGGGGTGATGGCGCAGCACTCTTGCAGAAAGCAGACTTCCAGGGGCGCCAAGGAATCTGTGGTGGCAGCTCCTGGGGATGGGGAGCTGGTGCCCGCATGGGGAAAGGTGGCTTCCTCGTCTGGTGCCGCTGGCAGGCACAGCCCCTGTCCCCGAGTGGGCCAGGGACGTCCCTGGGGACGAGCACAGCTGCTGGATTTATCGCACCCTGGGACCCTCGATTTGTCAAGGGCCGGAGCGGCAGCCCTGACACTGGCACGGGTGAAGATGAATTTCCATTCAGCA